AGCTATGCAAAAGCTTTTAAGTTTAATTACGTCCTATTTGTTTATTTTTGCTTTTATTTCCATTACTCAAGGAGATGGGTTGTAAACATTCTTTACAGTGAATATGATGTGAAGCTTTGTCAATAGAGGGCGCTGGAGAAGGAAGGTGGCATCTATTCTTGGTTCTGGTTGCTGTATTTTGCGTTTTCTTGCTCTTGCTTCATGGTCCATGGGTTGTTCGTGTCGGTGTATGTGTATGAGGACATTCAGGGATGCTCAACACTGCTGTGCTCCAGAGCATGCAGCCTCTTGGAAGTCTTGCAGACTTGGCCTGGACCCAGTGACCACCTTGCTGAGGCCCTTCTGATGAGACACTGTGTTCTCCAGACTTCATGCTCACAGGGGCATCCCAGCTCTTTTTGCATGCCTGCTGATCAGCTTTGGCTTGCATGTGCCTTGGAGGGCTGTTTCCTGGAGCCCTCGTGATATGGATACCATGCATCTCAGGCCTCATTCCTGCAGTGCTACGCCAATTCTCTTTGAGAACTTGGCAACCCAGCAAATTTCTCTGCCATCTGGTGGGCTGCAACCACATCTTCTCAAATGAGGTCTGAAACCCACTTCTGGGAGGGACTCCCAAGTTTGTCCTTCCTCAGCCCTAAATGACCCTTTTAAGTTCTTTGATGTCTTTGTAGTTATTCTATCACTGATTAATAATTCTTTATATTAAACTTCTGTTTAAATTCTGGTGCAGTTTTTGCTTTCTGATTGAACCCAAACTGATAAAAACTGAACATGCTGGTACAGAAAGCCCACTGTTATTCACCAAGACCCATCCACACTTAAGTTCTCCATGATACCCAACTCTTAAAAGTCTCGTAAGGCAGGATAGTTTGCTCTCTGCTTCCTTGACAGATCATAATCTCCACAATAAAGATTCTCAGCTTTCTCTCCTAAGCAGATGTTTCTGCCCATCAGTGTTCCTAGCAGATCATTGAGCATGCTGGAGAAACTCAACAACCTGGAGATGAGTATCTGTTTATGGTGATGTTGTGTTTTTGTGGAGTTAAATTCCAAAGTCAGGAACAAAATAAAAAATTAGTTGTATTCTAAATTATACTATAAAATATCTTAAATGGTTCTCAAGGCATATAACATGGTTTGATTATCTAACACTGAAGAAGAATATGTATATATGTGTCGATAATACATCATTAATATGCATATATAAAGTTCATATACAAAACATAATTTCATGATTCATATTACATGAAAGAGTAACACATATATATTAATCTATGTGAAAGGGTAACACATACCTTATATTAAATGTGCATATGATTGTTGGGAAATAGGAGATTCATGTGGTCCTAAGTTACCAGCCCTCAGATTACTCACCAAGTAGAAAAGAAAAAACGTAACTTTACAATTAAGATATTTGGCCATTACCACCTAAACTGAGTGATCGAATTTAGCATCACCAAGAGTGAAATGAGCTGACGTCATGTTTCTCCTGATATAACACAACAAGAGGACACTACATTGCCTTTGTCTAGTGTCCTTCATTGTCTGTGTAGTGTCCTTACCAAATATGTTTAACCTGGATTTTACCATGAGGAAGTAACCAGACAAATCCAGAATGTAAGACATTCTTTGGAACAACTGAACTAGATTCCTTTTTTAAAAAAATCAATGTTTAAAGAAAAGAAAAAGGTGGAGGGACTGTTCTAGATTAAAAGAAACTAGAGACATAACATCAAGTGTAATGCATGAACTTTGTGTCCTGATTACAGAAAACCCTATAGAAGACATTTGGGGGACATTTGGGAGAAACTGTGTGAATTGTGGAATTATTAATTTCCTTGACTCTGATCATGGTGTTGTGGTTAGAGGTACCTGGGATGTGCTACTGTGTTTACTGATGTGAGTGCGAGACAGTGTTTTGTGGTATGTGGTGATATATGTGTGATACACTGTGTTTAGTGGTGTGTGGTAAGAAAATGTCCTTGTTTTTAGGAGATACATGTTGACATATTTAGTACTCAAGTATAACGATACTTGAATTTATTTTCAAATGGGAGAGAAAGTTTACCAAACATGGCAAGTTGTTAACAATTGATGAATCCAGGGTATAGGCATGTAAAAGAGTTCTTTGTACTCTTGTTTCAGTGTTTCTGGAGATTTGAAAACTTTCCAAATAAAAAATTGAAGAAAATGTGCCTGTTAGATGCTTCCGCTCAACGATGTGGGAGAAATAAATTTGGGAGGGCACTGAGATGCTTAAGGATGTCTGCAAAGACCCCACTGGAACAGGAGAATTAGGCAACTAGGGAATTTGTTTCTGTAAGAGAAGAAATTTTTGGAGAAGGAATGCAGAATATCCTGGTTGGGGCCGAGGGTGGGTTGTGTGTGTGTGTGTGTGTGTGTGTGTGTGTGTGTGAAGTACCTCAGGAAGTAAGGCAGAAGGAGTAACTTATGGAGGACTTGGCTTTCTGATGAATGACAGGTCATTCCATCCTCCTTCTGCTCTGAAGGAAGATTTACTTATCCAGAGACTGGGGTCAGAAGTCTGAAGTGGATCTTACGGGCTAAAGTCAAGGTGTTGGCAGAGCGACATTCCTTCTGAAGGCTCTAGGGGAGAATATTTTCCCCTGCCTTTTCCAGCTTCTAGAATCTGCCGTATTCCTTGTTTCATGGCCCCTTACACCCTCTTTGGAGCATACCATTCTAACCTCTCCTTCTGTCTTCACATCTCTCTGACTCTGACCCTCCTGCCTTCCTCTTATAAGGACCCTTGTGATTACTTTGGGCCTACTCAGATAAACCAGGATAATATTATCTCCAAAGATCCCTAATTTAAGCATATCTGCAAAGTCTCTTTTGCCATGTAATACAACAGAGTCATTCATAGGTTCTGGGGCTTAGGACTTAGATGTCTTGGGAGAGAAGGGACATTATTCAGTGTACCACATTATCTTTTTGGCATTATTTGATATATTTTTCTTTTCCTTTAATTTGTTCATGTAACACATTTTGTCATTTTATTGCTCTTCCAATATTAGGCAATCATTTGACATAATTTATTGTACAAATTGTATACTACATTATTGAAATCAGCCTTTTATTTGGAATATCTGCATCTATAATCACAAATGCTGAAGTAATTTAAAAAGGTGGCTGTTAAGACTGAGGTGGCTCTAATGCCTTGGTGGCCTCTATATGCAAACCAAAACCTACCCCAGAGTCAGTGCACTCAGATCCAAGAAAATAAACCTTAGGGTTTATTTTCCAACCAATCACAAACAGCCAACTCAGCTTTCCCAAATAAGGCAACTGATGAAGCTATAGCCAATCAAATAAATAATTTCCCTGCTTTGCTTTGGAGTCTTCACTATAAAAAACCTCCTGTTGGTTGAGTGCTCCTAACCACTTTCAGCTGAATGCTGCCTGATTCAAATCGATGTATGTTCAAGTAAACTCTGGAAAACTTTTGTCTCAGTTTATCTTTTAATACAAATGAAACTGATTAATACTTTTCTTTTGGCCTATCATTATCAGGTTTTATACTAATTAAACAAAGTTAACTAGAGAACATTCCTTTTCCTAGGATCTGAATAAATTGGATGGTCATTAGTAGTTCAAAAATTAGCTAAAATTCAGCTATAATCACCTGGTCCTTTTTAATGATACATATTTAAAGATATATTAAAATTTTATCATGGTTATTGTTCTGTTCAAGTTTTCTACTTCTTAGTAGAAATTAGTAATTTAAATTTTACTAGAAAATCCAGTTACTTCTACTATTGTTATAAAGTTGCATATAGCCTCAAAATTGTATTAAACATTATGTCTATGGTTTAACCTTTCACATTTCTAATAGTTTTATTTTAATTTTTTGTTTCTTTTTGTTATTGTTTATCAATAGTGTGTTTCATTTATCTTTTAGAACCAAACTGAATTTCAAAAATTGGGTCCACTCCTTTGTTTTCTAGTTCATCAATTTCAGAATCTATACTGATGGAAGAAATTTTTACTTATTTAAGGTATGTGTCACTGTGGCTTATGCATAATTTGGCTTGAACTTTATATGTTACTAGAACAGCCTTACGTCCTGTTTATCTTACATTGTACATCTGCTGTAACCATTAAAGGGAAAAAAAGTGGCACTAGCCAGAAGTAAAGAACATCCTCTTTGAAGATAGGGATAAATGCTTACACCAGTTCTCCTTTGAAGGTAAGTTCCTTTCTCAGAGGCCAAGGCCATACTGACTCACCATGTACGTGCTAATCTGTCTCTTTTGAAACCTTGAAGGAATGCACCCATGTCATGTTTGATATGTGTTCCTTGTTGCAAAACTGCTGAAAACCATGCTTCTCAGAGCTACTGAGAGGTTGTATCAACCTCCCTATCCCGCCACCAGTCTTCAGAACATCTGGAATAAAACTCTCTTACACTCCTTATTATAGATTGTTTATTGATTATTTTTGTCCACAGTATTCATTTTATATTTAACAAAATTTAATAAATAATGTTTTAAAAGAAGAACATGATAATGGCCAAAATAAGTAAAAAAGTAAAAAAAAAAAAAACTCACAATTACACGTCCTAGATATTAACTACTGTTAACAAATGTTGGTGTGACTTTCCAGCGATCTTATTACCCAAGTGTCTTTTTAATTGTATTTATGTACTTATAAAATGTTTTAAAACAGTATTACATGGCATATAGTTTAGTATCGGTATTCCATTCTGGACTCAGGGTTGTCCTTGAACCTCACCGGGCCCTTCTCAGACTCCGTCATGCTCAGCTCTAGACCGCGCGCCTTCAGTCTCTCCTGCGCCAAGTCCCCAGCCCGCTAGGCTAGGACTGCATTTCCCAGATGCCTCTGTGTGGGCCCGGCCCCGACAGGCATCTCTCTGGTCCCGCCCGAATCGTCTTGAAAAGCCGGAGCTGGGGCTGCAGCCTTCCGGCGTTCCGACTGCACTTCCCGGCGGCGGGCGGGACTTGGGAATGAATGAATGCTCAGCTGAAACTTGAGCACCCCCGCCCCCCGGCCGTGGGCGACATTTCCCAGGAGCCTCCACGGTCCACAAGGCTTTCTTAGCCCTCCACGGCCACCTACCACGACCTCGACCTGTCGGTTCGCCCAGGCCCTCCGAGGATGCTCCGGCGCGGCTGGGCGGCCAGGACTGGGCTTCACTGAAGGCTTGGAACACGACGCGACTCTGTCGTGCCGGCCCAGGCCCTCCCTGGATTTTTCCTCCTCTGGACTATACTTCCCGGAGGCCTCCGCGGTGCCTGCCGCTTCCGGCCGAAGTTCGCTGGCCAGCGGTGAGTTGGCGGGAGTCCGGCCGCAAGGGATCGGGGCATTCCGGACGACCTCGCCGACTGGTTTGGGGCGGATTCGATCAGACTGGAGTGAGAGGACCCCGCAGAAGTGGACGGTGAGGAGTCCTGGGGCAGGGCTGTGGTCGGGCAGGAGTTTTAAAGGTGGGTGGCTGTCGGGCACGTGTCCAGCTGCGTGCCCGCGCTTGAAAAATAAAGGACGTCGGGGAGAGGGTGGTATCTCAGCCGCTAGGCCACACTCGGGGGTGGGAAGTGTCGGCCGTCCGCCAGCACGGGTGGGTGTGGGAGAGGGCTGGAGATATCCAGAGGTCAAGGGTATCGCAGCTGTGTGGCCTCCTGCCTGGGGAAAGTTGGGGCGATACACTCTGGGCTTGGATTGTGCGCCCGACGTCCGGTGCTCGGCGACCAGTGCCTCGCGGGGCCGTGGTGGGCCCCATCTAATCGGGACTCTCTGTAGCCCTGTGTGTGCGCCCAATGCGGTCAGGTCGCGAACTCTACCTTTGGGGCTAGAGCTGGGAATGGCTCCCTCTTTGTACATGTTGGGTGGGTGCCGAGTGGGGTCCGTGGGTGGATGGGTTCTGGGAGTCTACTCCGGACTCGATTTAAGCTCCCATTGCTCTCTCGAGCCCAGAACGAACACAGCTGCAGCCGTTCGCTCTTCAGCGCAGTTAATGGCGTTCTCCTGGGGCTGTTTATGGTGATGTCTGGGGGTGGGGAAATGGGGAGTTTCTAGAGCTTTGGGCAGGGAGCCCCTTCTACTTCCACTTCTCTATTCTCCCACCCTGTGGCCATCAGGGATCCAGGCCCACAGAGGTGTCCCCAGCCTAGAGGACAGGAACGTGGGACTCTGACAGGTGGATTAAATTAGGATGTGTCTTGGAGCCGCAGATCTGGGCTCAGTGCAAGATACTGGGCCCGGAAGAATCCAAAGTCAGTCACTCACGGAGGAAAGAGGCCACAGTCTGGGAATCTTTGCCAGGACTCCCATCTGGGCCCCTAAGGTTGCCTGCTCTTCTTTCTGATGCTGGGAGAGGGTAGTGGGATTGCAGGCTTCTTTGGCTTTGGGCTCCCTCTCAGTGCCTGGGGTAGGAGAGAGATTTGTTCTGAATTGGCCTCCTCTGGGCTCCAGGAGGGAACTGTTGTCTCAGTTTCTTAACCCTTTTCCACCTTTTTCCTTTTCTAAGAATCCAGAAGAGGAGAAGAGAGGAACCGCTGCTCATCGAAAGCTATGGCTGAGGTAAGTTGTGTTTGCCATTTTCTTCTTGGAAAGGGCCTCTTGTTTTTCAGGACATTATCCTATTTCAGAATTTTATCCAAAAGATACACAGTAGTGATTTGGAGAAAGGGGAAGAGAGGAGAAAACCACATTTATGGAGCAGTTTCCCTAACCAGCCAGGAACCTAAACCTGGGCAAAAGTGCTCTCTTTCTAATGATTACTATAGAATTCTTGCAAAAATTTCAAAATTTGAGAAAGTTATTAAAGTTTATCACCTATGGTCCCACCATCTAGAGGCAATCACTATTAATACTTTAAAGTTATTTTGGGAGGGAGGGTATAGCTCAAGTGGTTGAGTGCATGCTTAGCATGCACACAAGGTCCTGGGTTCAATCCCCAGTCCCTCCCCCCAAAATAAATAAATATAGTTACCTCCCCCTCAAAAAAAAAAAAGAAAAACAAAATAAAGTTATTTTGTCTGCACATATGTGTGGGTATGTAATTCAGTCTTCAGAAAGGGATCATACTGCTAATAGAAGCAACTAACGTATTAAATGTTTACTTTGAGCCATTTGTAGTTTGAAGTTCCTGACTTGTTATCTTATTGAATCCACGTAACAACCCTATGAGTCAGATACCACTATATTTCATTAATTCTGTGATGCTTTTTTTTAATCCCCACATTTTAATTTCTCTGAAATCAGAATGGGTTTTACAATTCCTGGCAAGCTGTAGTTTCATTGATAGCGTTTTTTTTTAGTTCCCGGTGTATAAAGTAACAATGGCTTTACAGTCAGTGGCATCTCAGATTTGATGAAATATGGTAGTATTCTAAGTTGACAGACGAGGAAATAGATTAAGTCACTTGCTGCAAAATTACATAGTTAATAAATGATACAACTGGAAATTCTAAATCACCTAGTGATTTCCTTTGCTTGCTTGTCATGTTAATCTTTTTTGGTTTATTTTAAATAACAGTTTATACATTAAGCATATTTTCTCTTTGTCATTTGTAAGTTAAATAATAGAAAAAAAATAACTGTGAAAAAATATTTCATCTATTTTTAGATTCTGAATTTTCAAAAACTGTTCTTTTCCCTTTATGTCATGCCCAAAGGTCTTCCCTACTAGAAAAAAGTCTTTCATAGTTTCCTAAAGTACTTTTGTCTTTTTTATAAACAACTTAATATTTAAGGTATCCAGTATAAGATATAACCAGAAAAAGTTGACTGTGAAAGTTCTAATTTGGGATGTTACTTAGATTATTTTTCTGTGACTTTGGAGTAATGGATTTTAAAGAGTGCCACAGTACTTGTAGTATGTGAAATTCAGGGTTTTCTCTTGGATGTGTCTGAGTGTGGCTCTTCATTAATTTGGTCCAGTTGCTTTTCAAGGATTCTTTTCACTCTGAAGACTGAAGAAATATTCTTTCTATTTTGGATTAATCTGTTTCTTCCTTTCTCTCTGACTTTTCCCCTAAATTCTGTGAGAACTTACTGAGTTTGTCTTCCTGTTTCCATTCTGGCCAGAACCTTCCTAAGATTCTCAGAAGAGGACTGCATCCTCCCGGTCAGTTCTCAGCACCTGTTGACAGGAAGGAGCGCTGGCTCACCTTGCTCTTCAGCCCTTGACTGTCCGTGTCTCCCTCTAGTTCCTCCTCTCCTCAGGGTGGTCATTGTCCTTCCTCTGTGTTAATGAGAGGCTTTGCACTACATAAAAGGTTATAGTCTTACCCCATTTCTGCCATTTTATTAGCTCTCTGACCATGGCCTTTCTCATAACTTCTCCTGTATAACGTAGTCTACAGGGTTTGGGGAATTTGATGGTAATGGAAATTCACCTGAATGTGCACTTACACTGGCAACCTGGAGGTCCCCCAACTCCTACCTCCTGGTGTCCTCAACATCCAGTGAGGTGCCAAATCCCATTGCTTCTGTCCCTTTCCTGTTCCTTGAGCTCATGCCCTGGGACCTCACTTCACTGTCTGTGTATCAGATTGGACCTTTGTGGGAGTGGATAGTGCGTTGACTTAACTGGACTTCCTGGCTCTAGTTTATTCTTCCAAAAAACAAAATAGTCCAAACATTTTCTTCATTCAATGAATCTCTGTTACTTTCAGGATAAAGCTCCAATTCTCACATTCATTGTTTGTTTATTAAAAATCACATTTTATATTTATCAGAGCACCAACCCTAGTATTGGAGTAAAGTGGTGAGTAAGGATGATGTGTTTAGTCCTGACACGGGTGACTGTCAACCGAGACCATTCTGTGTTTAGCCCTGGCCCCTGTGAACTTCTCCAACATCAGCTTCTGTCTCTTCCTTTCCCAGAATCCCTCACCAGTTACCCCAGTGAACTGTCTGCTGCTTAGACACACAGGATGCAATTCGTCTCCCTCTCTACCTCCAACTTACCCCAATCACTCTACTTGGATCGCTTCTCCATCTGTGTGTTGTTATTGTTGTTTTAATTTATTTTTTATTGAAGTGTAGTTGATTTATAATGTTAATTTTAGGTGTACAGCAAAGCAATTCAGATGTATGTATATATATGTATGTATACACACACATAAATATATTTTTGCAGGTTCTTTTCCATTACTGCTCATTACAAGAAATTGAATATAGTTCCCTGTGCTATACAGCAGGTCCTTGTTTATTTATTTTATATATAGAAATGTGTATCTGTTAATCCTAAACTTCTAATCTACCCCTCCCCTGCCTTTTCCCCCCAGGGACCACAGTTTGTTTTCTATATCTGTTGAATCTATTTCTGATTTGTAAATAAAATTTATATATATATATATATATAATATATTTTTTTTTAGATTCCACATAAAAGCAACATCATATGATATTTATCTTTCTCTGTCTTACTTCACTTAGTATGATAATCTATAAGTCCATCCATATTGCTGCAAATGGCATTTCATTCTTTTTTATGGGGCTGAGTATTATTTGGTATATATATACCACATCTTCTTTATCCATTCATCTGTTGAGGGACATTTAGTTTGTTTTCATGTCCTAGCTATTGTACATAGTGTTGCTGTGGGGTGCATGTGTCTTTTTGAATTATAGTTTTGTCTGAATATGTGCCCAGGAGAGGGACTGCTGGATCGTATGGTAAATCTATTGTTAGTTTTTTAAGGAACCTCCTACTGTCCTCCATAGTGGTTTACATTCCCACCAACAGTGTAGGAGGGTTCCCTTTTCTCTGCACCCTCTCCAGCGTTTATTATTTATAGACCTTTTAAAAATGGCCATTCTGACTGGTGAGAGTGAGGTGATACCTCATTGTAGTTTTGATTTGTATTTCTCTATTAATTAGTGATATCAAGCATCTTTTCAAGTGCCTGTTGGCCATTTGGATGTCTTCTTTGGTAAAATGTCTATTTAGGTCTTCTGCCCATTTTTTGATGGGGTTGTTTGTTTTTTTGATATTAAGGTGTATTAAGTGTTTGTATATTTTGGAAATTAGTCCCTTGTCAGTTGCATCGTTTGCAAATATTTTCTCCCATTTTGTAGGTTGTCTCTTCGTTTTGTTGATGGTATCCTTAGCTGTGCAAAAGCTTTTAAGTTTAATTAGGTCCCATTTGTTTATTTTTATTTCCATTACCCTAGGAGCTGGTTTGGAAAAAATATTGCTGCAATTTATGTCAAAGAGTGTTCTGCCTATGTTTTCCTCTAGAGTTTTATAGTATCTGGTCTTACATTTAGGTCTTTAATCTATTTAGAGTTTATTTTTGTATATGGTGTTAGAGAAT